ACAGTCGAACTGAGGCTGCCTAAGCTCCACAAAGGAGCCCCGGGGATATTGCATACCCCATTGCATACCCCTCTTTCGGATATCCTTGGTGTTCTCTGCTTCCACCAGCCTGCAAGATGTGTGGGCTCAGTGTTGCACCTCTGGGAAACCACAGGGCTGGGGATGCTTCTCTGGTGCTGAGGACAAGTGGCACGGGCCAGCTGTGTCTGCACAGTAGCGTGGATGGTGCTGGATCTGCTCCAGCTGCCAAGGGGAGCCCGCTACCCAAACCCATCATTATTGCTGTCCGTGTCTGTGAGTGTTTTGTTGGGTTTGCAGCAGCGAGGCTGAGCTGCAGCCCATCCCAGTGCTTATCCCTAGCGTGCTGTGCTGTGTGCCCGGGAGCAGCGTGCCTGGCGCGGGGGTGGCTGAGGGTGGGAAGCCGGCTGGAGAGCGCCGGAGGGTGCACAGAGTGATGGCAGGATTGCTGCTCAGCACAGCCCAAACCCAAGGGAGTGTGTTAACAGCTCCACAAACTCATTCTGGCATTTTTAGGGGTACAGCTTTGGTGCAGACTTTCCTGTGGGGATCCCGAGCACCTCCTGAAGCAGGAGGCAGAAATGTGGGGCAGAAACCTTCTGCAGCTCCAGCACCCCACTCGTACTAAGGGAGAGACCAGGGTAGGTGGGCAGTATGCTCAGCAACTCAGGGGTTTTCCAGCCACCAACAGGATGAAATGGACTTCCCCCGTCCCTGCCCCCTCATTTCACTTCTCCTGCCCGCCCTCCCCTCGTATCCCTGCCCTGCACTGCAGCATGCCTTTACCACTGTTCATCTTCTGCAATTCCCTTGGTGTTGGCTCCTTCACCTGCCCGGGTGTCACTTTTGGTGGATTCTTGAAAATAAAAACAAATTCTATGAAAGCACAAAGTGCTGGGAGATCTGCAGGGAGCAGGTTAGCCTCGGCTGGGGCAGCAGTCCTGAACGGCTTGGGATGGGGCCCCATGGCTGCTGTGGGATGAGGGGGAGAGCTGTGTGCAAGCCCTGGCAGCCAGGGCTGAGGAGCTGGAGCTGATGCTGTGCCGGGCAGCCGGGCTGTGCAGGCAGGCAGAGGCTGAATCGGGAGAGGAATCCAGAAGCGATTGGCACGTGAAGGCTGCCAGGCTGGAGACTGCGAGGGGATAGGATTGCTGTTTATAAATACATCAAGGGAGTAAACACAAGGGAGGAAAGAGAGCTATTTAGGCTAAGGGACAATGCTGGCATGCGAACAAATGGTAAAAACTGGTCGTGAATAAATTTAGGTTGGAAATGAGTGAAATTCTGGGACAAATTCCCCCCAGGAACAGCAGGAGTAGAAAGCACAACTACGTGATGGCACATTCTCTGCTACCACAGGCTGTCATGTGTGTGTAGTGTGCTGCCATGCCTGTGCAGCGAAGTCAAGAGTTGGGGTCCCCAGCTACTCCCCTCTGTGTCACAGCCACCCTGGCTCTATGTAGCATGAACAGCACAGCTCACTCCAGCTTCTGGCTTGGCCAGGGCAGGACTCGGGGGCAAGGGTTTGCAGGGAAAGGTCTTTCTCTGGCACCTGAGTTTGGGCATGCTGTCACAGATGCTGATCCTGAAAGCTGGATGGTGCCAATGTGCCTCTGCTTTAACAGCCACTGGCAGTACCGGGGCAGATATGCCGGGGGGGGGGTGTCCTTGCCCATGTGCACGGTGCATCCCTCTGCTTGAATTGTATCCCTATGCTCCTGAGCCACCAGGAGCAGGGAGCCCTGGTCTAGATCCTACCTGTTCCTGGGGACATGGGTTACACGCTGTCCCTGATGCAGCAGCCTGGCTGTGACATGCTTGCCCTGCCCAGTGCCGGGGCTCGGGTGTCTCCCCTGCTCTGGCTGGCCAGCAGCACAGCCTGCAGCACAGCTGAGCAATTGGTATTCCAGCAGCGAGCCTGCTTGGCATGAAAGGGGCTCTGCCAGCCCCACACGCCCACATCTTCACTGCTGGCTCAGACCTAGCCAAAGGGACTCAGCTGGCAAGGGCTGTCCTGCAGCACAGAGAGAGGCACAGCTGCAGTGGCAGGAGGGGTCCTGGCCTTCCTGGGATATGCCTGTAGCAGCCTCTGGCCCCCTTGTACCATACTATTTTCCCTCTCCCTTTGGAGGTAGATCAGAGAGCTGCAGGAACTATTCCAGGGCTTAGTCCTTCACAGGATGGGGGAAACAAAAAGCCTAAACCATCACTTGTGTGTGCTGTGCCTAAGGTGCCCGGCTCTGTTTGTGCTGAGGATGCAGATTCTGGTGCCCCATGGAGGCAGCAGCCCCAGACCCCATATGCAGGGCTGTGCTGGGAGGCATCCCAGCAGCTCCGTGTGGGGCAGGGGGCTGCACTGAGGGGCTGCTAGTGTGGGAGATGGTTGTGCTACTGCCAGAGCTGGGGTCGAGCCAAACTGGCACTGTTCCCCAAATCCTCCTGGGAGCGGGGAAAGGAAATGGTGCGACCATGAATGAGAAGGGACGTTTGCAGTGGCAAAAACATCCCACTGGCTCAGAAAATTGCTGCAGAATCGGGCTTGAAATGAGTTGAAATTGCTGAATCCAAGCGGATCTCATATCCCGGGCAGTTGTAATGCTGGCGTCAGCGCTGCGGCTTCCCTCCCGGGGCACCCAGGCGGGGCTGGCTGTGCTGTGCGGGGGGAGCGGGCTGTTGGGGATGGGGGGCTGCCTCGGGGGGGGTCTCTGGCACGGTGAGGGGCTCCAGCAGAGCTGGGATGGCCACAGTGTGGGGCAGGAGCAGAGCAGGAGGGAGGGTGCATGGGTGCCCCATTGCCCCAGTCTACCAGTGTCATCCCAGTTTGGCTTTAGCTCCTGTGCCATGTCTCCTGTCCTGGAACATCCCTGTGCTCCAGCTGCTTGCACTTACTCAGGAAACAGCATTTCCAGTTTTGCTTTCCTTTATGCAACAGCCTTGTCCATGCCAATTTGCTCTCTGGGCTCAGGTACCTGGACAAGGTTACCCCTGGGCTGGCATCCCCACCAAGTCCAGGTGGGCAGCACTCTGGTGTCCTCGCATTCCTGTCCCCATCCCCATTATGGCCCAATGCTGACTGTTCTCAGGGGTGCTTCTACGCTGGGGTGGTCGCTCCTGTGTTGTGTGGCCATGCCCAGGGCCTGCCCGTCAGCTGTATGTCCCAGTGGGAATGTGGGAGCAGGGCTGGGTGCCCCAGGAGGTATGTGGGAACAGAGCTGGCTGTCCCGGTGGGATGTGGGAGCAGGGCTGGGTGGCCCAGGCACACAGCAGCGTGACCCACTGGCACCACACATGTTGCAGCTCATTCCCCTTGCATGAAAACATTTGGCTGGAAGCTTAGTGCGGCCTCTTGTCTCCTCAGAGCAATCAGGATTTGTCACTGCCTGAAATGTTTAATGTCGTCTTCCAGAGGCTAAATACTGTGGGGAGCCGTGTAAGCCGTGGAAATACCTGTGTGAGCTGGGATCAGCCCGAGGCTGGCACAATGGGCTGGCAGCACTGGGGATGGGGGACTGGGAATGCCTGATGTTGGTCCTCATGCCCTCAGTGAGGGGTGGGCTGGTGTGAGCTAGGATGAGGATGCTGGGGGTCAGCGTCTTGCTCCCAAAAGGCTCCCCACAGCAAGGGGGCTGGAAGGTAAGTCTTGGGAGCATGGAAGGCACTTGAGGGGCCCCAGAACTGTGTGGGATAGGGAAGAAGATGTCAGGGTCCCCAGCAATATCTGACTGGGATCTGCCTGCTGAGGCACAGGCAGCTATTTCTGTCAAGGTCAGCGTGTCTCCATGGGAGAGAGAGGAAAATGAGAAATCATGTCAAGAAATTACTTCCCTAATGGGGTCTCCCCTGCATGTGAGCATGGCGTGGGGATGCCGGCATGCACTGGCTGAGCAAGGAGACTGGCACATAACACGGGAATGCTGCTTCTCTGGCCCTAAGACTGCAACATGCGTGGGTGCCCAGCAGGCAGAGCTGGGTGCCCAAGGGCCCGTATCTCAGTTGCTATCCTTGGCTAGACATGTGTGCTTCAGTTCTATAAGGTATTTTTCTGGGTCAGCTGGGGGGAGAAAATCCTGTTCCTGGTGCAGGCAGGCTCTCCTCTGCTCTTCTTCCTCCTCCTCCTCCTCCTCCTCTTCATGCACTCCCTGTTATCTAATTGGATTTGTCATGCTGGAAAGGCAAAGCCCTCCAGGACTGTGCTGTGCTCTCGCCAGTGTGATTTCACAGCTGGCCTCGGCACCCCTGTAGCCGACAAGTGAGTAACTCAGCTGGGTGCCATGGGCACCCCTGCTCCCCACGCTCCCCCACAGCCGTGCCCACCTGCCTAAAACACAGCCACCACCACAGCTGGACCTTCTCCTCCAGTCCTGCCCAACACTGGTCCCTGTCCCTAAGCTCTGTCCCCACGTGCCCCAGCCTCTGCATCCCATCCCCATCCCTCACCCCCCTCCAGGGTGATTGCCATGCCGCCCGGAGATGTCTGAGCTGACACGAGATGGAAGCGTTCACAGAAATGACATTTTCTCCAGCCTGGGGAGCTTATCCTCCGTTTAAAGAAAACTAATATAGAAGCTGCCCTGGTGTGCCGGGGCCGATGGTATCAGGCAGGCAGCCGGCGGCGCTCACAGCCGCGATAAATCTCAGAGAAGAGCCGAGCCGCCGCACGGAGAGGGGCTGAGCCGTGTCCTGGCGGGGCTGCGGGCACACAGCGGGCGGCCTGAGGGGACAGCTCAGGGCGGTACCGTGGGGTGACCCACGGGGTCCCGAGGATGCAGGGAGCGGAGGGGGATGGCGCCGGCGCTGGACTCTCGGCGGGCGGGCGGCAGGAGCCGGAGCTCGGCGCGCCCGGTCCGGCTCGGGGGCGGCCCGGGGCTGGGCCGGGGCTGGGCCGGGGCTGGGCCGGGGCCGGGCCGGGGCCGGGCCGGGGCCGGGCCGGGGCCGGGGCGCGGGGCCGCCGAGCGCGGGGCGCTGCTGCCCCCTGCCGGGCGGCGCCCGCCCAGCACGGCCCGTGAGGCGCGGCCCTGCCGCCCTTGGGTGCTGCCCTCGGGCCTGTCCTGCTTCCTCCTGCGCCTGGAACCACGCTGCCAGATGGGATCCTGGCCGTGTCCCCGTGGTGGCTACAGTTACGTGTTGCTCAGGCATCAAGGCCTGCCTCAGGGATGGTGCTGAGAGTCACTGCTGAGGACATCAGGAGTTCCCTTTGTTCCAATCCCTCCTGCCACCACTGGCCTTTTCCTGCCCTGATGCGATGGAGCTCAAGGATGCTGCTCTTCACTGGGCCCAGTAACCCTGACTTGTCCTGGAGCTTGGAGGATGAGGAACACTCCCCTCCCCATGCCAGCCCACGCTGTGTGAGTGCCAAAGGTGTGTGCCTGGGAGCAGCAGCAGCAGGAGATGAGAGGCTGAGGAGAGTACAGTGCTGAGCTTTGAAGGCACCTGACAGGCTGTCGGGGTGCTGCCAGCCACGCTGCCAGCCGGGTACGAACACCCCCCCGCCCCGCCACTGCTGCGCTCTGATCACAGCCTCGCCGTCACTTCAAAGCACCCGCCAGGCGCAGGTGGGTTGTCATGCAGCCTCCCACCCCATGGTTCCACCCCTCCTGACCCACAGGCTTGCTTCTCCCGCCCTACCTGGCCCAGAGGCACTGAGGGCCCCAGCTCCAGGGACAGGGATACCAAAGTACAAGGTAGACAAGGTCCCAAGCAGCACTGACAGTAGGTGATGGCCTCCCAGTGCTGTCATTGTCCTGCCTCTGTGGGGCAGAGTCCCCAGCTGCAGAGCAGACACAACTGGGGACCCTGGAGGTCCAGGCAACGTTTTGTGGTGACTGCAGTGAAATGCATGGCAAGGGACAAGGAGGAAGAGCTGAGGCGCAACATTCCTAAGCACAGGGTTCACACAGTGTGCCTGAGACAGGTCATCACTATCCAGACACAGATGCCCACCATGCCGGGACACTGGGGGCTGCCAGTTCAGCTTGCCTGGGGTAAGACAACACACACCACTGTCCCAACCCAGCTCAAGAAGGAATTTTCCATTCCCGAAAGCAGGCTGGGGAAAGGCGTGTTTGCAGCAACCCCCTCCTCTCCCTCCCCTCACCCATCACCGAAGCAGCTCAGAAAGGCGCCTGCCTTGTTTGTCTCCAGGAAGGTGCAGAGCAAAAGCCTCCCAGGAGGGAGAGATCTCTGGAGGGGACCAGGGACCCTGGGCAGCTTCAGGGGCAGCCTGCAGCTCACTTTCCAGAGGAGCCACCCTGAATGCAGCCATGCCGCTGCCCCTTGCCTGCTGCCAGGACGGGGAAGTTCTGACACGACCCCAGGACAGCAGCGCGCCCCAGCTCATTGTCGGCATCCTGCGAGCCACCAGGATCCCCGGGCTGCACTACATGTGTACCCGGCCACAGTCCCGCCTGCGCCGCCTGCTCTGGAGCCTGGCGTTCCTGGCCTCCGCCGGGCTGCTGGCCACCGGCACCGCCGACCGCCTGCGCCACCTGCTCTCACACCCCGTGCACACCCGCGCACGCCTCGCCTGGGCACCGCAGCTCCGCTTCCCGGCTGTCACCCTCTGCAACCCCAACCGGGCACGCTTCCTGCACCTCACCAAGCCCGACCTCTACTCGGTGGGAGAGTGGCTGGGGCTGGCCCAGGAGAACCACTCGCTGGTGCCCGAGATGCTGGCCGTGCTGGGGGAGGACCAGCGTGCCTGGCTGACACGTCTGGCCAACTACTCGCGCTTCTTGCCACCCCGCCTCTCCGAGCGCACCATGCACAGCTTCTTTCACCGCCTGGGCCACCAGATTGAGGACATGCTGGTGGAGTGTCGCTTTCAGGGAGAGCGCTGCGGCCCCCAGCACTTCACTCCCGTGAGTTCCCTCCTGGAAGGTGCAGGACAGTTGGGCTGCCCCATGGGTACTGGGAATGATGCTTCACCCCCACCCCAGCAAGAGTGGAGGGGTGGCAGAGTAGGGAGTCAGGTTGAGATGAGCCTTTCCAAAGGTCATGCAAGACTGTACCTTCCTTCCATCACCTCCGTGGAACTGGAAAAGAGTTTCTGGATATCATCCTGCTTGCAGAATACTCGACCAGATCCCTGCCTGCTCCCTTACCACTGCTCTCTCCATCCCCAGGTCTACACACGCTATGGTAAGTGCTACACCTTCAATGGGGATCGGAGGAATCCACGTGTGACCCGCCAAGGTGGCATGGGCAACGGGCTGGAGATCATGCTGGACATCCAGCAGGAAGAGTACCTGCCCATCTGGAGAGAGACCAGTAAGTGGGGCTATGGCTCAGGCAGGGCACAGGTGATGGGTGCTAGGATGCAGGGTTGCCTGGCAGAGCAGAGCACCCTGTGAGGGTGGATAAAGCAGGGCATCAGAAGGGTGCAGGTGCTGGGTCAGTGCAGGCATGCAGCATCTCTGTACTCCTACAGATGAGACATCTTTTGAAGCTGGCATCCGGGTCCAGATCCACAGCCAGGACGAGCCACCCTATATCCATCAGCTGGGCTTTGGTGTCTCACCTGGCTTCCAGACCTTTGTGTCCTGCCAGGAGCAGCGGGTAAGGCAGGATGCCCCACAGCCCCAGGGAAGTGCCTGCGGGCACTCAGCCCAGCCCAGCCCTGTAGCAATGCCCTTCCCACCCCAACAGCTCACCTACCTGCCACAGCCGTGGGGGAACTGCCGGGCCAGCACGCAGGGGGAGCAGCTGCTGCCTGGCTATGACACCTACAGCATCGCTGCCTGCCGCCTCCAGTGTGAGAAGGAGGCCGTGGTGCAGAGCTGCCACTGCCGCATGGTCCATATGCCAGGTGAGGGGTGTGCACGATGGTGTGAGGGGCGCCCCACTGCCCCAACAGTCCTGCTGGGGTTGTTCCAACGCCCTGCAGTCTGCACCCAAAGATCACCTCTGCCCCAACACTCTGTACTCAAGGATTCCCCTGGCCCCATCTCTCTTCACCCAGGGACCACCCCACCCTCTCCACATGTTGGGTCAGCCCCTGTCCTACCCTTCTCACACCACAGGTCAGCACCTTCCCTGTTTGCCTTGTACCTGGGCCACATCTGCCCCAACCAACCTGCACCCAGGGGTCACTCATCCCCATTCTCTCTGCACCCTGTCCTCTGCACTACCTCCAAGGGAGAGAGTTAAGAGTGGGGGGCAGAATCTGGCCAAATTTCCCTCCTCCCAACCACCTGCTTCTCCACAGGCAATGAGTCCATCTGCTCCCCTAATGTGTACATCGAGTGTGCTGACCACACGCTGGGTAGGTGCGGCAGTGGGTGGGCATCTAGGGGCCAGCCGAGTGCCCCAGGGAGAGGGCTGGAGATGGTGGCTGTGCCAATGGGTGTCTGCCCCCAGACGCAGCAGTGGAGGACAGCCAGGAGCGCTGCAGCTGCCCCACACCGTGCAACCTGACACGCTATGGCAAGGAGATCTCCATGGTCCGCATCCCCAACAAGGGCTCAGCGCGCTACCTCGCCCGCAAGTACAACAAGAATGAGACCTACATTCGGTGAGTTGCCAGCATTGGGGTATTCCAGGGAGTGGGCAGGGGGCTTAGGGACCTGGGGAACTTCCACTCCACTCCTGGCAACATGCAGAGAGAGGGTCCTGGCATACTTGGTCTCTGCAGCATCCTCTGTGCAGGGGTGTTTTCACTAGAGCTTCTTCCCAACTTGTTCCATCTTCCCAGCCCTCCTGCCAGCACCTGTCCAACCCACTGTCTCTCCTGGCCTGGGACATGCCCCATCCATGTCCTCACTGCACCAGCCCAAATAATTCACGAGGGCTGTGGGAGCACCTGAGAGCTGGTGGGCTGGGGGATACGGGAGGTTTGTGGGAAGTGGTGCAGGAGGGTTGATGACCAGCCCTTTTTGCTCAGCACAATGGTGTCCCCACAGGGAGAACTTCCTGGTGCTGGACATCTTCTTTGAGGCGCTCAACTACGAAGCCATTGAGCAGAAGAAAGCCTATGACCTTGCTGGGCTTCTCGGTGACTCCCCTCACCTTCCTGTGGGCCCTAAGGCGCGGAGCTCTGGGTCCCAGCCCTGAGAAGATGGGGGTCTGGTGGGGAAGGGATCACACAGAGCAGCAGCCAGCCCCAGGCTGGCTGAAGGGTGGAACACTGCTGACTGCCCCCTATCCCGCATGTTCCCCACTCCCTCTGTCCTGCTGAGCCTGCCCCCATGACTGCTCTGTGTCCCGCCATCTGGCAGCTCTGGCACTGCCCTGCTGGCCCACCCCAGGCTTCCAGTGGGCTGCACAGCATCTCCCGGTGACCATCTTCCCCTCCTCCTCCCCAGGGGACATCGGGGGGCAGATGGGCCTGTTCATCGGTGCCAGCATCCTCACCATCTTGGAGATCCTGGATTACATCTATGAGGTGTGTTTAGCCTTCAGGGATGTGTCTTGACAGTGGGTATAGAGACAGGCTTCCTGGGGAAAGCATAAAATGTGTGGCCACCACAGAGGGCCATAGCAGCCCCCAAATTAGGGAACACCCAGAGGAAGGCAGTGGGAGGAGAATGTGTCCCCCAACATTCCTCAGTGACCTGAGCACAGGGAGGGTGGTGGGCCAAGGTACTGTCCCACTGTCCCTGAGTGAGAAGGGGAGCAGGCAGCACCCACTGTAGACTGGGGTGTCCACACACAGGGTGCTACCTGTGTGCAGGTCTAGGTCTGACCCCCCATCTGCACCCAGGTGATCCGAGATAAGGTGAGCCGGGTCCTGCGCCGCTCCAAGCCACCTCTGAAGAAGCCCTCGGGCAGCATCGCCACACTGGGATTGGAGGAGATGAAGGACCAGGTACCCCTGCAGGGCTGGGCTGCCTGGAGGCTGTGAGGACAGGGACTAGCCATGTGTCTGCCCCCACTCCAGGGGGAGGGGATATCATCCCAAGATCGAGGGTCTGTGCAGCTCTGCATTTGGTGCCTCCAGGCTGCAGAGTCAGGGCAGTCCCAGGGAGGCAGGGAGCTGGATGTCCCCTGGGGAGCTCTGCGGACAGGCTGTGATGGGTGGGAGGACTAGGGAGGTGGCAGGATGCATGGAATCTATGCCCACCCTATTGACTGCCATCCCCACAGAGCCCCTGTGAGACACTGGGTCGGCACGTGGAGGGCGCCTACAACGCGGGCATCCTGCCCAACCACCACCACCGCCACCACTACCCTCACCAGGGAGTCTTCGAGGACTTCGCCTGCTAGGCAAGACTGGGTCTGGGGGGCAGCCCCCTGTCACCCCCCTCCCCAGCATTCTCATGGAGAGGGACGGCGGCACTGGGTGTGGTGGGCACAGACCCCTGCCTCCCCCACCCCACTGCCAGGACCAGCCACACTGTTCGCCCCCAGTAATGCCACTGGAGCTGCCTAAGCACCGGCACTGGAGCAGCCCCCGGCCCTTTTGCCTGTCCCCTCTGCTTGCCCCAGCACGTGGGCTCAGCCCGGTTTCAAGCACACAGCGTGGAGGGGGATGGGCAGCCAGGGGGGTCTGGGGGAGCAGCAGGTGTGGGCCAGAGAGGCCCTGGTGCTGCAGAGCATGAAGGGGATAAGCTGAGGTTCCTGTGAGTCCCTCCAAGCCCTCCCTTGGTGACCCCTCCTGGGTGGTGGTCTCTGCCCTGCATGGTTTTCCCTAGGAGAGAGACATGCCTGGAAAAGCTTCCCTCTGCCCGGGAACCACCTCCTCCCCTTCCTGCTGCAGGGCAGGGCAGCATTGCAGGGCACCCCTCTGAGCAGCATGGCCCCCGTGGCCAGCACAGGGACACCCCAACTGCAGCCACACCTGCATGGCACCACCCTGACCCCTGGCACCACCACCACCACTGTGACACACCCCTAAACACATGCCCACCCTTGCCCAACCTCATGCAGTCTCTCAGGGCTGCAGCCCCTCTATCAGTGTTCCCAGCCAGACCCCTGCACTGTGACTCCCCCTGCCACTCCAGTGTTGGCCTCCAATAATCCCCAGTCATTTCAGCACTGCAAACCTACTGCCTCGCCCATCTCCTGCCCCAATCTGTTGTGAACCCATCCTCTCCTTGCCCAGCTATTGCCCAGAGTGGCTCATCCTTGGTGTAGCTGCCTGGCACAGCCCAGGCAGCATGGCAGGTCCTGCCCTCGCTCCCCTGCCTGTCACTGCTCTTTTGCACCGTGCACGTACCCCTTGCCATGCTCCCAGCCCCAGGTGCTGAGCACCCGCTGTGCCTCCCCCAGACTGTACACGGTTAGGAGGGTGCTCTGTGCCCAGCCCTGTCTGGACAGCCACAGTCCAGCCCGCTGGCCGGAGTCTTGGCCAAAACTGCCACCCACAGTCCTCCTGCCTGCCCTGAGATGGCGGGACACACGGCAGGACGCACGGCAGGACCCACAGCACTTCCCCTGTCCTGTTGTACATTGCCTCCACCCCCTCCACTGTAGCAGCAGACACCAGCGCAGGGCAAACTGCCCCAAAATATCTCAGGAGGGGGGGCGAGCTGGCAAAGCCCCCCTCAACACACTTGGCAGAGGGGGACCCCAAGGCAGGAATTTGGGACCTCTGGGGAAGGCTGGGGCTGAGCCAGGCAGCCGCTGGCCGTGATAGTTTGGTCCCCCTCCCTGGTGCCCACAGATGGATCGTGGCCATGTTGTGCCATGCCCAAAGCCATAGATGCAGGAGGAGCCATCATCCCTGCAGCCCTCAAGGCCCCACAGATGGGAGACACAGGGCAGGGAGCAGGGCACCAGCAGCCCTGGCTCTGGGTATGCACGGTCCAACAGCTCCCACGAAGAATGCACCCACGTGTAAGCATGTTCCCCGTGGGTGCAAGCACCCAGCTGCGTGTTCCCCTGTGTGGGGGGATACACAGCGAGCCTCCCAGCAGGCCAGCCACACTGGTGCTCCCCAGGGAGCCCTGCAGAGCACCCCGTGCCGGCTCCCCATACGCCAACCTGCAAGCAGGGGGGTTCCCAGAGGGGTGCCACATGTTATCCCAGAAACGTGCCACAGCCATGCCAGCCAGCCTTACACCAAGGTCTCCTGCAGCAAGGGGGGCGGCACAGGATGTGTCCCCTTCTTGCCAGTCGGAGCAACAGGCCCTGAGCGGGGTGGGCATGGGCACCATGGTGGGAGGGCCAGCACAAACCACCCTCGTGCTGGTGAACATGAGAGATGTGCGTCACTGTTTTATAAATGTACAAATGCTCCCTAATAAAGAGGCACAAGTAGGTCCAGAGATGCCTACGAGGGCTGATGGGGCAGAGAGATGGGTGGGACACCACCCTAGAGGAAAGGTGGTGGTGGGACTCAGGGAACACTTTACAGCCTTGCGCTCATGTACAAGGGGTGCAGGGTGAAACAGAGGAGACAGAGGATGGGTGGAGGGGAAGGGGGGTCCTGCTGGGGGTTTCCCTGGCAGAGGTGCTCCTCCAGTTCCTGCCTTCTCCAAAACTTTCTCCATCTGCCCCAGTTACCCTGCAGCACAAAGGGGACGCAGCAGGAAACAGAAGCTGATCTCTTGGTGAAGGCTGCCAGCACCAGACAGCACAGGTTTCCCTCTACAGCAGTGACGGCTGAAAAAACCTGAGTTAATTGGGTGCAGCTGTGGCACAGGGCCACATCCCACAGCTCACACCATGCCCTGTGAGAAGAGCATTGAGCTTGGGTGCTAAAGGGAAAAGCAGGAAAATAGCTACATGCTCCACATCCAGTTATTATCAAATATGATTGGATCCCTTTGGGATGAGACTGTCCCTGCCACCTGATTTTGACCCATCTGCCCCTCTACAACGCCCCATCATTTTACCTGCACCAAGACAGTAACTGGGAGCTCATGGTGCTTCCTGCTCTACAGTGAAGATGTGTCACAGGAGCAGAGTAAGGAGAGCAGGACTGTGTGGTGGGCTCACGAGGTCCTTCCTCACTGTGTCCTCCAGCTCCTCCAGCGCCATGCACAGGAATGAAGCATGGCAGAAGGAAAGGTTGGGCTTCATGTGTGGCCCATCCCAGCTTCTACGCCAACAAAGCAGCCTCAGGACCATTCCCAGGAGCCCTGTAGTGATGACCTGAAAAAGATTTGACATATACTTTTCTCTGTTGCTTTCAGCACCTCTATTCTTTAATTTGACAGCTTCCAGGTGCTATCTGGGAGTGACAGCTCCTGTCACTTCCACTTCTCCAAACAGGACAGGCAGATGACATGAACCCTGCACCACCCCCAAACTGCAACATGCCTCATGTCCCAGCACAGATGGTACTGGGCTGAGGAGGGCCAGTGGGACAACCCGGGCTTAGCACCCCAGGGTCAACCACAAACCCCAGTGCTGTGGCTCCTGGGTGCCCCCTCCCATGCTGTGCCTGTTCAAGGGCCACCAGAGGCTTAGTCCTGCCCAGAGATGGAGATGCTGCCACCTGGGGCTCACCCAGCACAGCACTGCTTGAAACACCTGTAATGAACCACATGAAATAGCTGGGGCATAATTAGAAGGGGATCCACTACAGTGAAACAGGCCCTTAATTTTAATGAGCACAGTGCTCTGGACAAATGCCAAGTACCTGATCACAGCAGGACCGGCTGTACTGGCGACAGCTTCTGTCACCGTAGAGGTGACAACCCCAGAAGACACAGCAGGAGTGGCAGTAGGGAGTAGGCACCAGGATGGAGCAGGCAGCAAGGATCTCTACCATCTATAGGGCAGGCATCTCCTCTGGGCACTTTCCAACATACCTCCACTGCCACAGACAGTAATTACAGCTGTTTTCATAGAAAAGCTGCATTTCAAAGAAAAAAAAAAAAAAAACCATCCAGCTTGGGAGCAGAGGGTTTGGAAGTAAGCTGTGAAATGCAAGGGGACATGTGGCCTCACTGCTATCACCCCCTCCCAAGCATCTCCTGCCTGGCGATGCTGATGGTGACAGGCAACACCTGGAGAAAGGAGTGAAAGGAGTGACTCTCAGCATGACTGTATGATGTGCAAATGCCAAGCTCACTGCTTTGCACTTTGATCATTTGCCCATGATCCCCTTGCTGGAAAAATGGACTGGTGGTATCAATCACTTGGGCCAGGCAAGGGACACACTGCACCCACTTTCCAGCACTCAGCCCCTCACAGTGGGCAAGGAGGCTGGAAAAACCAAGGAGGCAATTAAAATAAAAGTCCAAGCAAGCTGCCTGCCTCTTTCCCCAGTGCCAGAGCTTCAGGATCTTGCATTCTGCCAATGCTGGGGTGGTGTGACCCCAGAGGGAACATCCCTGGGCATAGCTAGATATGCCGACATCCCATAGAAGGAAACCCCTTCAGGCAGGCACATACTGACAGCAGCTTGCTTGCACCTACAGCTTTCCTTCTTCATTGAAATGCTCTGATTTCCCCGAGCTTGGCCAGAAAAAAACGTAACCAAAGCCTCTCACACCCTCCAGAGGGGCTAAGCAGTACGTTGGACAGGCAAGGCATTGGATGCAAGCACAGCTTGATACTTCCCTGTCTGCTCCTCTTCAGGCAGAACAGCTTCTTCTGCCTTCACTTAGAGACAGGAAGGACTGTTTGCTGGAATTGGGTCCTGGCCTGTGGTCAGTAGAGCTGCTTCTCCAGGACAGGCACCACTGGCCCCTTCCCAAAGAAAGCACAGGGAAGGAAGGGCATTGCATTGCCCTCCAGCCCTTTCATGGCATGGCCGCAATTCCCCTATCTTCCCAAAGGTCAGCCATCAAACTGATTAATATTGCTGGAGCTGAAGTAGCTTTGCCACAGAGTTGAGCACAGCCTGAAGTGACCCAAGCAGGGCTAGGGAAATAGGCTTTGCCTTCCCTGCTCACAGGCTAATTGTTGTGTTTGCATACACGGGAAAACAAACCACAGGATGGGGGAGAACAGCAGTAGCTTGGGTTTTCCCCAGTTTGAGTCTCTTTCCTTGCCACAGTGCAAAAATGAGAGGAGGCAGGAGGGAAGACAAGTGCCCACCCATGCCCAGTGTATTCAGACATTCCCTTTCGTGCTTCAGAGTGCTCTGAACCACCCCTTCACCCTCTCTTCTGAAAAACTTCCCAAGAGAAGGTTGCTCAGTCTTTCTTGATTGCTGTGGTGAGCCAGTAACATTTAGAAAATTTCCGCAAGGGAAGCAGAAGTCTACAATGCAGGAGACAAGTCTTCTCCTGCCTTGTTTGTAAAATTGACCTTTCACTGCCCTGCTCTGCAACTGGGTAAGTGCAAAAATCCACACACTGTATGAAAGTACCAGACAAGCCTGAAGAGGGATCGCAGAACGTCTCTATTTTCTCATCTGCCCACATCAGCAGGGCTGCTCCTCCCACCCCTTTCAAAGGTGTCACTGTTGCAGGTCTGGTGCCCCGCCTGCACCTGCTAGCCCTGTGAGGGCAGGAGAGGGGCAGTGCACCTGTGTCCATGCCCCTGTTGTCACAGGTCTCTGCCACATCCCAGTGAGCACAGACAGCGCTCACTTCAGCAACCCCCTTCCCAAAGTTTTGTACATCCTTATTTGGGGTTTCATCATGTTTTGATGCTGCAAATAGCCTGGCAAACACTAAAACAGCTTCAAACCCTGCGATCTCCCTTGAAAAGGGAGCAGTAACTGTGCTGGGAGTGCCACAAGCAGTCATTTGCTCATACATATGCCAGAGCGGGAAGCCTCTCTGCTGGTATTGATAGTGCAGAGCATTAAGTATGCAAATACCTCTAACTCGGTCTGGGCAAACAGCAGTGAGGCACCAGCAACTTTATCTTGAAAGTCTTATGATAACTAAGTGACAATTATGGGTTTCTTTTCACAGCCAACTTGATTTGAAGCCGCTTTATTACCATTTGGATACTCTTCTAATGCCTAATCACATCTTACTACTTGGTACACTTTTCAAAGGATAGATGTATCTGTAATACACCTGCATCTGCCTCGCTCCCTCTGCCCCAGATTTCCACTTGAAGGGAATTAAGGATGTGCTCAGGGAAGATCAAAAATAGAAATACCCAGAACAAGCTAACAGTTACTGTCTGAAATATAATAAAATTATATTTAAACATATACCCTCCTACACCATGGATACAGAGACTGGAGCAGGAAGAGATGAATGAGGTATCCTTGGAAAAGGCATACCATACAGCCCAGGGGCCCTCCATGAGTTTTGCTGAGCACCAGCAGCCATGATAAGTAATACTGAGTAGGTTCAGTTAATTTTCTTGGGGGTGTCTCTTTGATACGTGTTTCATGAAGCAGTAAAACATGATGAGTAAGTCCCCACACCTCATAATGCAAACAGGAGTTTTAGGTGATAAAACTCCTGTAGGACAGGACCACAGTGCTCTACCCAACTAAGAACTGGAAAACACAAGTGCTGGGAAGCCCTGAGATGTAAAACAGCCCAAAAAAGAGTGAGAGCAATGCAGAGAGAGCAGGTCCGGCACTAATGATCCAACACAATGCTCAGATCCAATTTCTGGCCTGGGAGCTTCCTTCAGAGCTGATCCCAGATCCTGGAGGGCAGAGTTCACCTCACTTGAGCAGCCAGCATCTGCTCTGACATGGGCCAGGAGTCCCCCATTACTCACATAGAGACCACAAAGGCTGTTACAGAGACAGCAGATGTGGGAGGACGCACAGCTCCACCAGCCCTTTACTGCTGCTTTTCCACCCATAGACAGGGCTGAGGAGGACTGGTCAGTGGGACCACAAGTTTACAGCAACAGGAAAGACAGGACAATCAGCATGTTGCACTGGACTTCCCACGTCAAGGGGTTCAGCATCCTGCCACGCCATCAGTGACGGCAACAGGCAGCTACAGCAGGACAGCCCCAGAGATCACGAGCATCAGAGGAAGTGCTGGCCTCCTGCTGCAAGCTGCAGGGGTTCAAGCAGGCATTGCCAAGTGTGCTTGGCACATCTGCCAGCCTGTCCATAAGGCAATGGGCTCCCACAGCCTCTTTAAGAAGCAGGCATCTCCCTGCTCAGGTAAAGAATGTTGCAGGTGCTTGGGGAAAGAAGCATCTCTGTAACGAAACTGTCCAGCCATCTGCAGACAGAACTTAAACAAGCAGCCAGCACCTACCACCATGAAGACCTCCAGCAGAACACCCATAGTTGCCTCATGAGAGAATCAGCCAGACCCACCAATACATCTCTCCATTTTATTAGTGTAAATGCACCCCATCCCCCCTCCTTTCCCCCCTATTAAATACAAACCAGGAGCAGTGAGCGGCTCCTCAGTCGCTTTCTCCTTAGGAGA